CTCCCCACTGGGCGTGCTATGAAGAGAAAGGGCAAGGGAAGCTTCTGGCAGGGCAGTAGAGCCCAGTGGGCTCTAGTGGAGACCTGTGTTCCAACCCAGCTCTCGGGGAGACCTTGAGCAGAAGGCCTCCCTCTCCAAGCCCCGGTGTCCTCCTCCACCCTGTGGTCCACCCCACAGGACTGCAGTGAAGGCAGCCCCCGTAATGCCTCACCAACATCTGCTGGGCCATTTTCTTCTTTTCAGCCTGCAGCTGCTGTCCCCGGTCCTCCTCCTCCTCCAGGCGGGCCTCCATCTCATGCAGGATTTCCTCCAGCTCCTGCTTCTTGGCTGCCAGTCGGACCCGCATCTCCTCAGCCTCTGCGTACAGCTCTGTCTCGGCCTGCAGCTGCTCTTGAAGCAGGGTCTTCTCCTCGGCCAGCTGTGCGAGGGCCGGGGACAGGGCTGGTGAGCCCAGAGGGACTTAGGGCGCAGCTTCCCACCCCGCCCCAGTCCTGCGTCCTGGGTAGGCACCTGGGTGTGCTTTTGCTCCAGCTCCTTGAGCTCGCCCTCTGCCTTCTGCTGCCGCTCCTTGATCTTCTGCAGCTCGTCCTCCTTGGCCTGCATCTCCTCCTCCTGCCGTGTCACCTGCAGCAACGGCTTCACCTGCACGCACAGGTCCAATCATCGTTGGTTTGGGTGGTCAGAAGGAAAACACCCTCATTGTAATACGTCAGAACAGTGCTTGGTAGCTAGTGCTGTCCCCCCACCCCCCTGACATGTGGTACTCTCTGGGGGACATTTGTGGGTGTCACAAATGGGGGGGTGGGAGGCCACAAGCATATAGCAGGTACAGACCAGGGATGCTGCCAAGCAGGTGCAATGAACAAGACCGCCCTACAAGTCACAAGCCAAGACTACGGAGGGTATGACACCTTGCGTAAAAATGAATGATAGAAAAGGGTGCCAAGGGGCAGGAGACCCTCTAGGATGGGGGAGAAATGCTCCCACCGAGTTTCCAAGACTCTCTATCTTTACCGGTGCAGACAGCCTCATCTCTCTCCCACGGGAGCCCGGTGGGATTGAACCACCGACCTTTGGTTATTAGTCTAATACTTAAGGCACTCTGTCATCAGGACTCCTTCTTCCTACACAAAGAAACCATTCATTGTTCTGGATTAAAAAAAAAAAAAGAAGCCAATCCTCATACATCACATACTGTATACCTCCAATGACGTAACCTTTTGAAATGACAAAGTGACAGAAGTGGTGGCCACAGGCTAAGCAGGTGGGAAGTGAACAAGGCCATCAAGGGCAGATGGAAGGGTCCCAGCTGTTCTGGAGCTGTGTGCAGGCCTCAGTTGTACTATGTGCCCAAGACAAAGGCCTGCTCAGGCCCAGAGCTCACATGGGGGTGAGGGTGGGTGGTGAGGATGGAGAAGGGAGCGCGGCTCGGGGAGCCAGGGCACTCACTTTGGTGAAGAGTCTCCACCATTGCCAGTTCCGCAGCTTGAGGTAGGCGGCGCAGTTCCTTTGGATGACCTTCATGGCAGTCAGCTGCTGCTGCCTCTTGGCAAACGCCCTAGGACAAGCGGGCAAGGCCCACAGCTCATCAGCAAATAGCTGGGGGCCCAAGGCGGACTCCCCCCCAGTCTCAAACTCCAGGGCCCACAGGTCTGGAATGCCTCCCTGCTTTCATCAGCTGGGC